TAGTCCCACTGCTATACTGCTCAGAGATCATGCAGCCTAGCATATGCAATCAATGCTATAGCATAGCATATTGCAAGGATTGACTAGATTATATAGAAACGCTTGTGTGACTCCTAATCTGTATCATTTACTGACTTATCTATTATCTTTATATGAGCTTGATCCAGCACCACCAGTGATTTCACCACTAGGTCTTCAGTCTGCAGTTGAGCTTCTAATCAACCATGGTATTGGACACATAATCGAGGAATGGTTCCTAGAGGTGATGAATGCAGATCTCCAACAAAGAATTGCTCCTAACTTTCTGGCTTATTTTTCTTCTTCTGTGCCAGAAGATGAAATTGGCAATTTCATGTCAAAGGTAACTACCACTGTAACGCTCGGGGCTATACACACGTTTTGCCGTGTTTAGCATCATGTTTATTCTTGACTACAGATTGTGGTCATACTCACTACTTCTCTTTGGAATGCCCCATAGATGGAGAATACTGATGCCTTAAGATGTCTTTCCTACTGTTAGGATGATTTTTTGTCAAAATATATTGAATGGACATAAATCCAATAAACCGAGCAATTCATGTTCCTAGCCTGTGATACATATTACAAATGTTCAGTCATTAATAAAAAAACAATTTAGTTACACCAGATTTTATGCTTGCCAGTACAAGATATGTAGGTGGGTATTTTTAATATGCACGAAGGCAGTTGTATGAAAGCCCACTCTAAGTAATATTGATATCTCATGTGCATGATTGGCTAGGGAATGGTTTTCATGTACACGTGTATGTACTTACGATCATATTTGTCGTAATTGATCTGAGGCTGAAGATAAAAATGATAAAACTCGTTGCAATATCAAGTAAAATAACCAAGAACTGTTTGTTAATGTGAAGCTCCAACAATTTCGATATACCACAAGTTTGAATAAGTTTACTACAGACTTAACTATTGTGTTGTAATGAGCACAATATTTGTAACAGTAATGTTTTCTCTCTGGTTAACTATAGGTGATAGCTGAGCTCTATGATAACCTGTCAGCCTACATACCAAAGCTGGGCCAGCTTGATGAGATTAGCATGTGTATTTCTCTTCCAACACCATCATCAATGGATGGTCTCAATACAGTTTTATACAATGAAAAGGTGAGCATGATTCTGCATACTGTCCATAATATAGGCACATCTCTTTTTCGTCATAGGAAAACTGTTAAAATGTGTTAATTACTATATGTCCTTTTCCTAATTATCTGCTGTAGAAATCCAGGCAGCCGGCAATGGAGAGAGCGCAAAGCATATTTAAAGCCATGTTACTACCACAATATCAGATTCCAGAAAGCTTATATGCAAATGTGCAGAAATTCTACTCTCTGACTATGCGAGTCCATCACACCACCGATGAAGCAGACATTAAAGCGAGTAGGTTTTACTTGTACAATATGTCACAAAATTGTGAACTATGGTAACATAGAATACTACTGTGCATTCATGTCCTGACTAGTAACCTTGGTGCTCCCACTAACTGGCTGAAATTAGCCATATATAACCTTTTGCATATATACATATTGAATAAATTATATATATTTGTAATCAATTTAGGTAATTTAAAACACATTTTGATTTCACAGATAATGAAGATAGAGATGACGAATGTATAAGGTGCACTGGTTGTTGCTGTGATACTGATAACTGCCAGTGTCAGACACTTCTACATATATTTCACCAGGTCAATCAACAGCTGTAAGTTTTCACTAAAATTTATTTCTCTTCAAGAGTAATTTGGCTCTCACATTGGGTCAATGTGAGGGGTCATATTTATTGTGCACGGTATGACAGCTTGTTACCTCTAGAGTTCCTTGTATGATAATATAATGTTCAACAAGAATTTCAATAGGGAGAATTAAGGTCGTCACAATTGACGTTGGTTCACAACTATAAATCTGCATAATGTAATATATGATGTGGTTATACGTAAGCAGACATGAATGGATCTCTGTCAACATAAGGGAACTGTAATGCTGTAAGCTTATGGTGAACATTGTTTATTTGTTGTTGATGGTGGCGACGGTACAGCTATGAGCTGGGGTTGCTGGAAAGGTTTGCGGGGGAAGCTGTCACAAGTGTGATTCACGAGAAGATACAAGACTACGTCCAGCATACCTGCAAGGGAAACTTTGAATCATCATATCTTAGCTGCTTAGAAACGGCAAGTCTAAACCTTTCTCCAAAGATGTTTTTTTTTAAATGATAGAATGCATAGAATAGCGTAGTTTGCAATAGAAATTATACTTCTTCTCCGACCTTGCAAGCACGAATTTCACAAGTATTTTGTAATTGCAGTGGTTTATTACTATGAATGCATACATAAATTGTATGCACAAAAATAGTTGTCCATCCAGTGGTTGGCATCTAATATTAGAAATATGAAACGGTATGCAAAATTTACTTGCTTTTGACATAACACATTTTCCTGTGAAAACATTGTAAACTAGGTATGAGCTGGTTCGTGAAATATGGTTATATTTATCTGCACTCAGTGGCTAGAGACAAAGGTCGTGGGCTGGCTGTCTGAGGTGTATAGAGGGTCTGAAGGTTGTGAACGATACAATGACCCGAACACAGCAACAAGTGTCGAGGCCTACAAGTCGCGACTATACTACTTGCTGTATGAAACGTACACAGTCGTCAGGATAGACCAGCTCTTTAACATTATTATTGGTAAGAATACTAAGATATGGTTGCAAGGGCACAGTCAGTACACGTGTATACATAGCCAGATTCAAATTATCACATGGAAGGATTTTGCTACCTTGCCCGGTTTCATTTTAAATTTGTCAAGTTTTCCATTTTATTATTCAATCTGTGTATGACAAATCATAGTACCTTTTCCTATTTATGTGAAATCTCAACCTTGCTGTAGTACCAGTAAGAGTATCTATGATAAATGCCAAATTAACTGCACAAGTTTTTGTTATTATTTATATGAGCTGGCAACTATGTAAATTTCAAATAGTTTCCTTCCTTGTTGAATGTAAATTAATATTTGGCAAAGTTTGCTTTTCTGAGCAGCAACAATGATAATTAAATTGGTCCTCACATATGGTTAATGCAGGGATGAGAATTTTCCGCCGATCGGCGGAATTCCACCAATTTGACAGCCGCGTGAAATATATTTGAAATATTTTTTGCCTATTTTTGACTGTCTGTGAACTTTTAACATGGTTTGAGTAAATTTTTATAACGCATGACAATTTTATATTTTTATTATTCATGCGTGAAAGAAATGTTATACTTGTTTTCTACCAGTTTAATGTATTTTGTTAGCCATTATGTACCGTTGCTAGATTAGCAACAAGAGGTCATGGGGAAGGCCTCAAATCTGTTGTTAAAATAATATTATATTACAATTATGGCTTTTGCAAATACCTAAATTGAGCTAGAATGTATCTCCACATGGCCTAAAGATGCCATTACAGAGTCCATTTTTCTCAAAAAAATTCTGGGGGGGATCCCCCAGACCTCTCCCGCACCCTCCCCACTTGGCGGCGTAGCTGCCTCGTACTTGTCCTTCGTTATCTTTTCCTCTTTTTTTCCTTCTTGCTGTTCTCAACCCTGTTAATGATGATGACAGCAGTACTGAGTGATTCTTGTGTAATATACATCTTTGCTACTACATGTAGAATACCCGGAGTCTGAGCCTGCTATCGTTGATCTTCGCTGTTGCCTAGAGAAGACAAACCTACGATCTCAGCTTGTCACGTCACTGAAAACTGCACTGGAAACAAGACTATTACATCCTGGTATGTGCAAATACATACGGTAGAAATATATTGTTATTATCTGGAATGTTACAGTTGCTGGGTGTGAGCTTGGCCAGAAGGATTGTTTCACATTTTTGACAGCGTTTGAAATTTTTTCTCCAGGTGTGAACACTGCAGATATTCTGACAGCATATATATCTGGTATTAGAGCTCTTAGAGTACTAGACCCTACTGGTGTCATTCTGGAGCTGGTATGTGAGCCTGTTAGAAAGTACTTAAGGTAAGTCTCTCAGTATAGATGAAACCAGTAGCTATTGGGAGTATATCATTGAAGACTGATGTTCTCTGTATTTCATTCGACCCAGTGAGTGTAATAGAGTATTGTTGGAAAAAATTTCGCTTAATTTGGTTCAGAAAATAGAATATTTCTGCTGCTTGTTTATGCCTGTTAAAGAAAGTTTAACTTGGGTAAGACACATGCATGTGTTTATTTCCGGGGGTAGAGTAAGCGAGAACTCGCCCTGTTTTGCTCCTTGTAGGACGCGAGATGATACGGTCAGGTGTATAGTGTCAAGCCTCACTGATGACTCATCTAGTGACCTTGCAGATGAGCTGGTGAGAGGAGAGCCACTTCTGCTTGATGACAGTTGCCAAGGTGTGCATAAATTATGACAGGGTTTTTAGTTTATTAGGATATCTATAGCTAGTCGCACGTTGAGATGCTCAGTGATGACTGCAAAACATGCATTCACATTCATTATTGCGTGATGATTCACGTGTGATTTAATGTGTAATATGTGAATTATTAGAATAATAGACGACTTTGCTCTGTATTATCTCATGATGTCCATTTAATCATTTGTAATCGATTTCACCTCTTGCTGTATCGTCTGCAGGTGAGGAAGACATGGCTAACTGGGAGACCTGGTACCCTGACCCTGTCGATGCAGATCCGACAAAGACATCTAAGAGCAGACGATCGTCTGACATCATCAGCATGCTGGTTAACATATATGGCAGCAAGGAGCTGTTTGTGAATGAGTATAGAACTCTCCTGGCTGACAGGTGAACAAGCAGTGTGGCACTACCATTGACTTGATTGCTAACGATTACTAATTCTATCATATATATATTTTACTCTAGATATATTATCTTTTGTACTCTTGTATTCTATGTCTACTTTGTACACACTACTTGTATTCTATGTATAATTTATGTGTAATTCGTGTACTCCTGATAATGATATAGCACTCATTTTCTGTTGTGCCTGTGGTCAGATTTCCCATGATTGATGTGAAGTTTAACACTGATTTATAACAACATATGCGCAATTGGGTAATGATGAGGGAATACCTTTTATACAATTTCAAGAATTGAACCACTTATAGGTAGATATTATTAGACTGAAGTAATACCTTTGTTCTATTATATACATTTATTTTAGGCTTAGTTACATTGATGGGGCATATATTTTTTATTCACATTGAAGTGGCAGCTATCGTGCTTGAACCTCCCCTTGAGGCTACTTCACCGGGGTGCTCTCTTTTACCATTTTACTATCTTTCACAATTCCTCTTGCAGTCAGTAACGACACTGGTAAACCTGACCAACCGTTACGCTGTGTTACAGGATACTGTCGCAGTTCAACTACGACACAGAGAAGGAGATTCGCTACCTCGAGCTGCTGAAGCTGCGATTCGGTGAAGCTCAGCTGCATTACTGTGAGGTGATGCTGAAGGATGTGGCTGACTCCAAACGCATCAACTCCCTCATTCATAACGGAGAGCTGCAGGGTCACCAGAGCATGGTATGCCCCCCACGAGACCACATACTTAATTAATTACTTGTGTTCGTACTGCCATAAGTGTAGACTGTAGAGTAGAAACCTGAATGTAAAACATGGTAATATAATACTCTAATTGCAATAAAAAGTTTAATAGTATTATAAAATGGCTATTGTACAAATGAAACATTAATACTATGTTATTGTAATCATGATCGTATATGTGCTCATATAGATATTGTCATGTGTATGTTTGTATTCTTTGTGCTACGTTAATATTAATATATCTACTATTTTTAATGCTGTTTTAGGAAGCTTCATTATTACTAGTCTTATATTCCTTTTCGAAGTATTTCTCATTCCTTGTCTTTAGTTAAGATATGTTTTTTTCTGATTTCTTCTGCTACAGGATATACCGGTGAATGCGATGATCTTGTCAGCACAGTTTTGGCCAACGTTTCGTGAGGACAAATTGGAACTTCCAGCAGGCATTAAAAGCTCACTAGATGCTTACACTAAGAACTTTGAAACTCTGAAGGGCAACAGAACTCTATGTTGGAAGCCTCATCTCGGTAGGCAGAGTGTCGCTGCAGTGTATTTATGCAGGAAAGACAATTGTTTTTCAAAATGCTTTCTGGCACCTGTAACACTACTGGTGTGCTGCAGTCTGTAGACTACACCAAGCAGTTCATGGCTGGTCTTAATCTCTTTGCTACTTGCACTCACTTGCAGATCAATACTTATACACTTGTTTTTCTTTCATGATATGTGAAATGAATATGGTATGGTCATGGCATAAGGCGAATCTTTCTCTGCAGGTCTAGTAAGTTTGGAGATAGAGCTCAAGGATAGGAAGGTTCATATTAGCTGCAGTCCAGTCCATGCTACCATCATCATGCACTTCCAGGAGAAATGTTAGTATGTCACAAGGCAGCTGATGCACAGCGAATGCCTATTAACTTTAAATTAATATACAAGAATGTTGAAAAATTGGCTATAAAGTCAGTGAGAAACAAATGCTCTCATTTTGCCTAAGGTGGTGGCAAACACCCATGTAGCTGCTTTCACTCTCTCCTGCAGCAAAATGGACTGTGGATGAGCTCAGTGTAATTATGCACGTGCCGGTGTCTGTGCTTAGACACAAGATGGCTTTCTGGCAGAGTCAAGGTCTGCTGAAGGAGGAGTCGGCGGACACATTTATACTCATAGAGGAAGGTAGGAATTTAAGCTAACCACATATATTGAATTGTGAAGGTACAGATCATACTATTGTTGGAGCATGGTTCAATGAATACTCCTCATACTGTGCATGGCTTATCATCCCATGCAATGCAAAATGGTGAAAATGTTCCTGGGTTGTGAAGGAATTTCCTTGCGAATCTAACAGTGCTTTTCTGTTTTGTTTATTTCAGGCAAAGGTGGTCGCCATGACATCCACATGATTGACATTGAGGAGGAGACGGAGTCGGCCATGGCTTCATCACATGACCAGCGAGAAGAAGAGCTTCAGGTATTGCAACCTGGAGCCTGCTGTCAGAAACACCATAAATAGTTATGACTATAATATGTCTAAAATATCATGAGCCCGTTGTCAGAAACAAAATCAGTCTTAACATTAGTCTTAACACTAACATTTTCTCGTAGACCGTCGACAGCACTTTGTTTCGTATTGTTATGAGGAAATCTGCTACGATTTTTTATTCAGGTAACTTTGCAGCGTTTCTGTCGACGGTCTAAGAGAAAAAGTTAATGCTAAGACTAATGTTAAGACAAATTTGTTTCTGACAACGGGGCCCCATGCCTTTTGCACAACACTTCACTTAAAAGTTATGACATTTTAGACTCGTGATGCCGTGACTGTTTATGCTGTTTCTGACGATGAGCCCTTGTTTCCTTGTTCTAAATCGAGAACTCGTTTGACCACTCTCAAGACATTTATTCCTCTTGCAGTGCTGGTCCAGCATGTATTGTCATAGCATTGGCATTTCAGCTGTAACTACATGTGTTTCTGAAGTGTCCTGCATTGTTCTTATTCGTCTATATACACATGCAGCACTTATGAAATCATGGCGCGACATGTAAATATTTACGCTATTAGTTAATGCAGTGGTTTGCAAGAGTTCATTATAGAAGCAAAATGGTTTACTATACATATATATATATATACAGTGGAACCTCGATTTTATGCGCACCGATTTAACGTGAATTCGGATATATCGTGATGAGTCGTTGGACCCCCTTTTTTTGCTCTTACATAGCCACGTATATATAACTCCGATTTAGCGCGACCCTGCTTTTTTCACGATGACATTTTATGGACCCCAACCATCGCGTTATAACGTGGCTACACTGGATATATATATATTATATATATATATATATTATATATATCAAGAGCTATAATACCTAGAGTTACAACGGAAAAACGGGAAATAGTGCTATTTACGAGACAACATGTATTTCTACTTGTCTGCAAGTCTTAGAATATATTTTATGGTATTGCTTAAAGCAGAATTCTTTCGCTCTCTAAAACAAGACCACCGCTTTGTCAATAGCGATACTCCTAGGCTGATGATATTGGCTCCTAACCTTCGCGCCTCCCACATGCCTGCACGCCGCCCATCGCATCCAGCTTATTCAAGGCAAACCTACACGCCCCTAGGCATTTTTGGCCTATCGTTTTCCGTCGCCGCTTGGAGCGCTGCATAATGATATCACGATGCCGCAAATTTGGTAGGCGCTTACTAACACCCATTATAGTAACTGAGGCTGCGTATAGTAGAACTTAATTAAAAAAAACATTGCCGGCTCCATCAATGACGGGCATTAGCCGTGCTCAGGGAACATAATGGGAGCTAAGGGCCATAGGCGATAGCCCCCGAAAGTCATCTGTTTATGATAACCGAAACGCCCGTTCCATTCATTAAGTTATGGTGGAAAAACCGACTCTCACGAAGCAACCTTTAGAGCGTTTAGGTTGCTGAATAAGCTGGATGCGAGGCGGCGTGAGGCATGTGGGGAGGAGAGGTTTAGAGCCAAATATCTCAGCCCAGGAGTATCGTATGACCAAGCCGTTGGCTCTTGTTTTAGCAGAGCAAAGAATTCTGCTTAATGCAACACCATAAAATTATTCTAGGACATCGCAGGCAAGTAGCATAGATCATGTCGTGAAATAGCACTATTTTTCCCTTATTCCGTTGTATATCTAGGTATTTTAGCCATCTTGATATTATATATATATCAGGTCGTTGTGGGTCGCGTGTGTTTCAGGGTAATGGTCGTTAATTTTTAGCCCTCATCTGACATAGTCAGATGCAGCTTGTAGAATCGCCTAAATAGAAACCGTGCATCCGGTGCATCGGTCAACAGTTGGGCACAGATCTACAACGGTGCGACGTACGGGTTCACGATATTCGGACGTGGGGGGAGTGGGTGGGGGGGGGGGGCGGCTAATCGAAAACGAGTTGCGGATGCTCGAAGCTGCGGGGGTCAAGGTCAAAGGTCATAGAGGTGTACAGAAAGGCCGAAGCATTCCCTCTTAACTTAAGGTATAAAGATGGAAATGCCCAGAGAGTGCGGCACAAAATCTAAACGGCTTGACCTAGGCTCGTGATAGTCAGGTGTATGCATCATGTAGGAAAAGCCATCACTGCTGCCGAAATTGGAGCCGGAAGAGAGTCTAGACAGGTCAATGGGGTTCACAGGCCAGATTTTAGACATTTTCTCGAGGACAATGGTTGACAGGGCGTTGAAAAACATTTTGTTTCTAGCGGGATCTTGATGCATTCTTTACCATTTTATGGCTTTATTGAAACCGGACCATTTAAAAATGTACTTTCCTGGCTGACATGGTGAAGAGGTAGTGTCGGATATACCTGTTTGACCGCTCAAGATTGAGGGTTTAAACATGGAGATTTTGTTGAGCTGTTAACAAAGCCGACTGAACTGCTGTTTGCTATTTGTGGATGATGAGGTCCTACAGTTGCACAGTTCAATTGCCAAAGGCAAATGTTTGTTGAAACACAGGTTTACGTCCGCTTAAATCATAGTATTTTCTAAAGCAGTCTGTATTTAGCACCACTGACGTAGCCACCATGTTATTAGCACACTTGTAATGAACCCTGAATGCTCGCCTTGGGTAGGCAAAAACATGGGGGGCAGGTCCATTACGCATGGCGCATGGGGGTGCAAACTGGCACTATTCTAATCATAATGTATTGCCTGGCAACCTGCAATGCACGATGTGTTACTCACAGCTTGAGCCCGAAATTCTAGAATAGAACTTCTGAAGAATATCCAGGCTACAGTACACGTCAGTTGAGCGCCTGTCATCCTATGGCACTTGTTCATATGTCTGGTCAGGTGTTTTTCTGATGTTATGGTTGCATGTGTTATAGCTATTATGACCGCATGTGTTTTATGTGTTCTGGTCATGTATGTTTCAGCGCCTGTTCATGCGTCACGCATGTTTTATGTGTTCTGGTCATGTATGTTTCAGGTGTTCTTGTTGCATGTGTTTTAGGTGTTCTGGTCACACGTGTTTCAAGTGTTCTGGTCACACGTGTTTCACGTGTTTTGGTCACCTGATGTGTTTGGTCACACGTGTTTCTGGTGTTCTGGTTGTGCGTGTTTCATGTGTTCTGTGTGCACCTGTTTTACGTGTTCTGGTCGTGCGTGTTTTACGTGTTCTGTGTGCACCTGTTTCAGGTGTTCTATGTGCACCTGTTTCAGGTTTTCTGTGTGCACCTGTTTCAGGTGTTCTGTGTGCACCTGTTTCAGGTGTTCTGTGTGCACCTGTTTCACGTGTTCTGTGTGCACCTGTTTCACGTGTTCTGTGTGCACCTGTTTTCAGCGTGTTTTCGGTGTGCACCTGTTTTGCGGGTTCTGTGTGCACTTGTTCTCACGTGTTCCTGTGTGCCACACTGTTTCAGGTGATTCTGTGCTGACACCTGTTTCACGTGTTCTGTGTGCACCTGTTTCGCGTGTTCTGCGTTGGACCTGTTTCAGGTGTTTTTGCGCTGCACCTGTTTGGTTCGTTCTGTGTGCACTGTTTCAGGTGCTTCTGTGTGCACCTGTTTCAGGTGTTCTTGTGTGCACCTTGTTTTCGCGTGTTCTTGTGCACTGGCTTTTCAGGGTGTTCTGTGTGCGCCTGTTTCCTAGGTGTTCTGTGCTGCACCTGCTTTTGCCGTGTTCTGTGTGCACCTGTTTCAGGTGTTCTGTGTGCGCCTGTTTCAGGTGTTCTGTGCGGGTGGCCACTGTTCAGCTGTTTTCACCTGTCGCTTCCTTGCGGCTACCTGTTTCACGTGTTCTGCGTGCACTTCTGTTTCCACGCGTTCTGTGTGCACTAGTTTCACGCTTCTGTGTGCACCTGTTTCGCGTGTTCTGTGTGCACCTGTTTCACGTGTTCTGTGTGCACCTGTTTCACGTGTTCTGTGTGCACCTGTTTCACGTGTTCTGTGTGCACCTGTTTCAGGTGTTCTGGTCGTATATCGTTGGCATGCTGACGAACCTCGAGACGCTGCCGCTAGAGAAGATTCACACGATGCTGAAGGTGTTTGCGATGCAGGGCCCGTCGACGGGCGAGTGCAGCATCCAGGAGCTGAAGCACTTTCTCGATCGCAAGGTGAAGGAGCAGCACCTGATTTATGCTGGCGGAGTTTATCGTTTACCGAAGCCTGGTAGCTAGCATTGCCAACCGAGCCAGCTGCGTGCGCCCCTGATGAATTGTAGGATATCTACCAGCTGTCTTTACTTCAGGCTGATAATGATAACTGTACTGTGAATATTTGTATATATTTTGAGCATTGATCACAAACACAAAGATGATGATTTATGCTATTCGCGCTGCTGCTGTTATGATACGTTATGCTGATAGATGTCATGTTGTTCTCAATAATATGCGAGCTTGTAAATTTTTATCGGTAGGGGAGTTGTGTGATATTTTGTTTCACATTAATTATTTCCCTGCCATTAGTGAATGTGTTCATCAATCAAGTCAATCTGAATGAGCATGTGTAATGTGTAACACATATAATAAACATTCCACCTAATAGTCTTCATTTTCCTGCTTTGATAGCCTTGCTCTGTGATATATTGTCAAAATAATTACTTCACACAAATGTTACCCATTTAGTCGTAAACGCAAGTTTCCGCAGGGGGAATTTGGTGTCCATATATCGCGCTTCAAATATTCTTCGTGTTATAGCCTTGTGAGGTACGTACTCAAGTTATTGTAGCTGTTAAACCGGTGCCTCATTTTTACTACTCGCAACTGACAGTAATGTTCAACGGCCGTACCCTAAGGGTGGCTATCTAGCACGCTGCAACCAGCCATCGTTGACAGGATTCTTAATTGATGACACGGTCGTTACTAGAAAACGCATAATCGCTACTTTCTTGTCTTACTTTTTGCTCGACGCTGCGTCGGTCTCTGCGCCTAGTTGTAGTTCGGCGGACACTAGAGCATGACAAAATTGAGTGCAGCGGTTATGCGACATGCTATGAACGAAACGCAGTGTATTATTGTGATATGGACTGCTGAGGCGCCTTGTTGATATACATTAGCACACAACACGGAATACTCATACTGTCTATACTACCGATATATAGGTTTACAGACATATGTAGGTGTACAGATACGTACAGGTGTGTAAATGTGTTACTCACCGTAGCCGTGGCTACGTACGTATATCGCGCCCGGACAGGAATGAACACATGATAATAACATCAACTTGCGAACGAGTGGATTACCATATACGTTGAGCTTAGGAAGTACCCATACCACAGACGCGCACCGCACCGCACCAGCAGTTTTTTAATAGGCAGTATGTATATCGTGTATTATTTCGCCGATGACACGTTCAAGATAGCAGTTGTTTGTCTGGACGGGGACAGCGCAAGACTGAGGGACTCAATATGTGCGAGCAACAGCTCTAATCCGTCCATAGTGTCGGTGAAGTGTGAGTAGTATTATACGGGTGATTTTATTATGCCTTGTCACTCGTTGCTGTAAGGCGTTGATATAGACGGATATGGAATTCATCGGACCAACATTTAACCAGATAAGCCAAAAAACGTTTAAATTAAAACATTAAACAGAAAATTCAAATAATTGGTCTTCTATGTTGTTTTCCTATTTTATTTCAACTTATTATTTACTGTTTAAAACCTCGTTTCGATGCTGGCAGGTGCATTCCTAGATAAAACGCACGTAGGCCCTATTCGCATTCTCGTACTCATTCAATGACATTCTGGACAGATTCTACTATTCTAGAATATAAACGAAATTTCAATCTTTAAAATACACCTTCCTTCAAAAAGCAAGACGGATAAGATTCCGAATGAGGAAACAAGTTTTACAAAAAGCAAATTATGGAGATAATTTAAGCACAAGAATTCCCTATATATCCTCAATTTTCAAAGGAAGAAGACCGCCCATACAGTTCATAACATTCAAGGACTGTGAATATTCGCAATTCTGTCGCGAATGGCGAGTTTATCATGGTGATAATTTAGATTAATCTGTGCTTCGCCCAAAACCAGCTGATACCATATAGAAGTATAAAATTATTGTATTACATTAATTGTAATTTGTAATTGTTATTGTAATTGTAATTGTAATTGTTTGTAATTATTTGTAATTTGTTGTAATTGTTACAATTTCTCATTAATTGTAATTGTTAATTGTAATTTGTATTACATTATTGTATTACATCAAGTTCCTATGTATTTTTATTTGCAATTTTTTGCTAACGCTTCTGACGGCTGAATGCGCTCTGGTGTACATGAACAGCCTACAGGCGTATTTAATTTGTGTGTTTGAGAGCAGGCTGGGCCAGTTAGACAACTTTGGTGTAAGCGATTTAAGGACCGGGTTTTAACAAAGGAGTTACAACATGATAGATGATCGAGTCAAATTCACGGATCACCTATAGGCCAACCCTGATCGTAAAGAAATATATTACATGTTAAATGAGTTTTAAGTAAACGTTCGTTTTTGCGTTTTGCTTGCTTTTCGCAGCGCGATCTATGGATATATTTAATTAGCACAACCGCACACGCACGCACGCACACACGCACGCACGCACACACGCACGCACACAAACAAACACATGCACACAAACACTCGCGCGCCCCCCACCCCACATACATATACGCAGGAGTGTATAATAGGGTATTAATAGTGTATAATAGTGTATATCCCTATTATACACTCCTGATATACGATATATACAATTGTGTGATGTAATATGAAATATAATTTGATTGTCTAATTTAAAAATGTGCATGCTTCAATACAGCTGTTCGGGAATTGGTATCAGAGTTCGAGGAGAAGTCAGTAACTGAAACAACTATCGTTACCGATTGCCGTCTCAGCTCGTTTGACAAAGGTTCCGTCAATCAACAGAAGGTCATTTTGCATATTATACGTCCTCTCATCTATCTTGTTTCTATCTCAGTTCGTCTGTTTGTCTTGAAAACTATCTCAGCTGTTTACTCATTTTATTTCATCTATCTCGCCGCATCTCTTTGTTTCTTTCTTTCCCGCTTTATTTCGTTCATTCCCTCTTGCTCGCTCGGTCTCCCGCCTCTCGCTGTCACTGTCGCTCGCTTGCGCTCTCCCCCTCTCTCTCTCGCTCTCTCTCTCCCTAATATATAGCCTATCTGTCTCTTCCTCACTATGCATCTCTCTCTCTCTCTCTCTCGCTCTCTCTCTCTTTCTCTATCGCATTAATGATGTGTCAGATAAAAGCCTTCGCGGTAAATTAAATCTCTGGCGGCATCAGTACCAATAAGCCGAATTCATGCTTCACGTAATACACATGAACAGTAGGTGTGTAAAACAGTGGCAGTACAATACTTACCAGTGCTAAATACAGCGTTATACTTATTCATCCGCCTTACTCGTCCTTTGGAGATTTTTGCAGAGTCCGTGATTATCGTCAGACGCTGCTAACGCGTATAGCGCCGGTGTATCTGCCATTAGCCGACATTGTATGCTCTGACCACAGTTACAACATGCCAAGTTTCTGGAGATGGAAAAGGAGATGCTGCATCTCGGACTGAAGGGCACTGACAGTACGGAGCAATGCATCCTAGCACAGCTGAAGAGCGTTCACGAAGAGCTGTACGACCTGCACGCCGAGAATATATACGTATGCAATAACATGACTCAGTTTTCTTACATTTCTACTGTCTTATATATACTGAAACCGCTGAGTAAAATTTCAGCAAAGATTGAGTGCTGCAGCGCTTTAATATATATATATATATATATATATATTACATATTACATATATAACACAGTGTGTGTGGCGTGTGCGTGTGCGTGTGTGTGTGGTGTGTGTGTGTGGTGTGTGGTGTGTGTGTGTGTGTGGTGTGTGTGTGTTGTGTGTGTGTGTGTTGTGTGTACGTGTGTGTGTGTGTGGTGATACGTGGGTAATTATATACTTCCGTAGTACTTTACGCTACAGAGTGCGACGCGACAAACGGGAAAGCAATAACCTATACGTATGCAACGTTTTGTTAAAGATATAAAGATTGTTACAGAAATAAGAGCGCCATATAGTGTGTTATTGTTCTAGGCATGGAAATAATATACTAGTGTCTCTTTCGCTATACGTTCCTACGGTTCTATCTGTTTGTCTCGTCGCCTCTCGTCGCAGCAGTACCTGCAGGGCAGTACCTGTGCATTCAGTGTACACCTCGAGCAATCAGTATACAAGCAAGCGAGCGATGTGTCACGGCGCGTGCGCACATAAGCGATTTCGAAGCGATTCTATATCAATTTGGGAGCAATTGAGAGCGACGAGTCGCTCAAAATCAAACAAGTTTGATTTCTTGCAACTCGTCGCAAGCGACCAGAAATCGCTACGGGTTGCAGTTGCACATTCCCGCACACGTAGCGATTTCACGGCAATTTTTACAGTGATTCTAGAATCGCTGTCAAGTTGCATGAAAAAATCGCACGTCTGCGCTAGCTGCAGGTCGTGCATCTGCAACGGAAACACTTGTTGCACCCTGATATTGAGACACAGGTAGAAGGATAGAGCGACTGTAGACTTTTAACTGTAATATGTTATATTTCATGGCCGTGCGTTAAAAAGGACTTGCTAGATGTTGGAGAATACGAGGACGATAGGCTGCATTTCCAGCAAAGTTGTATCGACAACTTCATACGTGTCTCGGATGAACTCCGAACGGAAACGGTATACAGAATCCTCGTGTTTGCTATAATTCTCAGTAAACACGAATACCATCTAACTAATGCAATGGCAAAACGAATAAGTACATTTTACGTTACTACGAGGCTAATATATATATGTATGCGTGTGTGCTGGAGCGTTTGAGTGCGTGTACGTCTGTGTGCGCGCACGTGTGTTGGTGTTTGTGTGCGATTGTTGTCTGAATGATTCAACAGTGCATATACGTGTGTGCTGCAGCAAGTACTTAATATATGGACTGAGAAAGAGCGTAGGCCTACGTGTCCAAAAGCGTAGCCTACTCGTCGCGCGACTAATCACATTCTATGCTACTGTAAGGTACATGAATTTCCTATCCTACTAACCTATGCGATGATTTATAGGCGTATCCGTCATTACCGCCCTGCGGCAGTGTCGATGACATCATCGCGGCAACCCATGAAAATGAAAGCAAACACACCGGAAAAGGCCCGGATGATCTCAACATCTCGGCAACGTCTGACTTAGGTTCGAAATAATTTATTTCGTGTTCAGTCTCATTATCCGTTAGTCGTAATTTCATATAGTATTCCATTGAATTGATGACATATTTCTCTTTTAGGGATAAGCATACAGACAACATCGTGTATCGATTCCGACTGCGACACTATAACTGGAGATGAACCGGACACACTAGATGACTGGATAGTTACCAATTCTCCTCATCTAAACTGCAGAGCTGTTGATGGTAGCGGCAGCGGAAGCGATGGAAACGACAGCGACCACAACCATGATTCTACTTTCCCAGAGGTTGACTACGCTGCTGTGCTGCGTGATGAGAACAGCAAGCTAACCAGGGTAATATATAATAACGTAAATA